TGCATATTTGCATAAAAGTACAGTAGGGAAAATCTGAAATTTAATACTAATGATTCAGTAAACTGTAATTCTTTGATTTTCATGAAACATTTACATGCAAATTTTGATACAAAAGCTTTGAGTTATATTTTGAATTTTTAGAATACCAAAGAAATTTTACTTGAATGTGGGAGTAAGACGATTTGAATTATGACTGAGGTAAGTAAAAAATATTAGAAGAAATCAAATGTTGGAGATTATAATTGCCATGACGTAGTTCTTGGTAAAGTTAAAAAATAACAATACTTTCTGATTATCTACATCTAGAGTATCAACTGTAAGCAAAAGTGTCATGTTTTGGGGCTTTTTTTTTTTTTTTTTTTTTTTTTTTGTATGTTACTTGTACTTCATATGAGTGCAAGTATGCATATGCATGAATGGGCTTATATGTTTAATGTAAAGTCATTGTGTTTTCTTTTCAGCTACTTCCCCCCCCTCCAATTTCTTTTCTTCTTTTTTTCTGTCATAATGGATTCTAATGAGACTGTAAAATTTACTGCTTGATGAGAAGGGTAGGATTCCACTAAAAGTGTTATTTGTCAATCAACAGAGAATGAAAATTTCTATTCCTTGAAGTTGTATTTTCAAACTGACTAAATTCGATTATTAAAATATGTTTCTTGTAAAATGCTTCTTTTTATTATTACTTATGGAGCAAGTGATATCCATGAAATGCAAACGTAACTAATAAAACATTTCTTATCAATTCATAAGCAGTCAGTGAGTTGTCAACTGTTCATGTGGGTGTGAATAATCTTTCCTTTATTTTACTGCTAAGTATTAACATTGAATACTTTTTTTAATAATCTTCAATTAATTGTGTATAAATTGGATATTTTGAAAAAGAAACAATGCTGAACAAAGGAGAATGAAAGAGGCGAAGAACAAATGAGTTTATTTAATTACCTGAGGTAGTAGTGCCAATGAAACTAAATGCATACCTGCCAATTTTTATGAATTTTTCGTAATTTTTACGAAAATGCGTTTGTCTTTACGATTTTACGATCGTAATCCATTTTTTACGATTTTTTTCCTTTTTCAAGTGTTTTTAGTGATTTTTGTCGAAATTTTAGAATTTTTCGCCAATTCAGCGATTTTTGCCTATTGCTATCTGGAAAAAAGTGTAAAAAGGAAAAGAAAACCTAAAGAATTTCCAAGAACTGTGCTCTGGTGAAACGAGAAAAATTCTGAAACATGTATGCACGAGATGGTTATCCTTAGGCAGAGCGCTAGGAAGGTTTATTGAACAGTGGGATGCATTGCTATAATATTTCCACGGAGAGACCAAAACGAAACCACAGATCCCATCAAATTTGTCGGCATATAAGATTCCGAAAACCAACTTTGCTTCTAATCAAAATGCTTTAAAAGGGAAAAGCCAACACACAGAATCAAACCCTTTAAAAAGAAAATGCTTAGAAGACGGATTTGAACAAAGCATATTGTAGTTTTGTGTTAAGTACCATTAAGATTTCTGAAAGTGTAGATACCCTTCTACAATCAGCTTCGCCAAAATGTCCCCTGCTTATCCAAATTCTTAATGATCTTTTGAAAGAACTTTATACTAAGTTTGTAAAACCGTCCGTTGTGAAAAACAATGTGTTGATTCGTGTTGCCTATAATAGTTTGGCAAATTAAAAGGATGACAATGATCTTATAATTGGAAATCAAACCAGTGAATTTGTAAATTCTTTGAAAGATCATGAGAAAAAATAATTTTTTCAATGTGTTAGAAAGTACTTTTCCTCAGCCTGTGATTACATTGTAAGGAAGTTTCCTTTGCAAAATGAAGTTCTTTTAAATGCTGAAGTGGCAAATTTGAAACAAATTGAAAATTCATATTTTGAAAAGATTCGTTTTTTTTATTGATAAATTTCCATTTTTGTTAACAATTAAAGAAAATGAATGCCATAATGATGCTTTAGATGAACTACAGAACCAATTTTCTGCTGCACAGTTTGAAGACTTTGCCAGTTCTGGAGAAGATAGACTTGATGTCCTCGTTGGTACCTTAAAAAGAATAAAAAGAGCAGATGGAACACCAAAATATGATAGACTAGCAAGAGCTTTATGTGCTATTCTCGTAATTCCACACAGTAATGCTGAGTGCGAGAGAGTCTTCAGTGTTGTGAAGAAAACAAAACTATGTTTCGTTCTTCAATTTCACCAAAAACTCTAGAAAACATTTTAATTGCTAAATGTTATGAGGAAACTAATTGTTATGACAGGAACATTTTCCAAAGAAATTTTGGCTAAAGCCAAAAAATGGCACTCTAAATTCATTGCAATAATTTTTTTGTGTAACATTTAAGTTCTTGTTTTATGTTTCCTAATAAATTTTTTAGTTACTACTTAATTGAGATTTACTAATGTAAGTACAATTTTTTTTTTCTATTTGTATAAATTGTTATTTTTTTTAATACGAAAGCATGATATTAATTCTTCGTGTTCTTCTGAATTTTGGAGAAATCTTCTGAATTTGGGGGAGAAATCTTCTGAATGTTTATCTTTAGAGGTTGGTAGGTATGTAAATGTGATTTTTAAAATTTTCAAGGCATAACTCATGAAAGGAAATAGAACTGTGCTGCAAAGAAAGCTTAAAAAAATTAATGTAGTTCCTCATTATTTAATACTAGAAAGCCCGGCGGTCATATGAAACGACCGCTGTTCGAGATATTATAAATTGTAATTAAAATGATTTGTGCAAAGGTGTCTGCTAAGTTAAACTGAATTACCCAGAGCAGGCGGCGAGGACGTCCCTTTGCTTACTGTCCCATGGGGTTTCACCCTTCTACTTGCTTAATTGCTTAAAGTAGAGTGCAATGAAGGAAACCACTGGCGGTACATTTCTTAAGAGTACACCGCTAGCTCAACCAATAAAGATGATTTAAATAATAAAATGTTAATTCACTTGTCAAAGATCTCTTTGTGCACAACATTTCTTGCGTAGATCTTACCATCGTTTTTAAGCTCGCCTTGCAGAGGACTATCTATTATTTTTAATTTTAAGTCCGTTCTTTCATGAACTCTTGAACAGGCCACATAAAGTTGACTGTGATCAAATGCAGGCTCAGGTAAAAAAATGCCAACACGCTTAAGCGTTTGTCCGTGAGACTTATGGATGGTCATAGCAAAGGCAAGTTTTACAGGAAATTCCCTACGTCTCGATTGAAATGGCAACCCTGTGCGTGGCAACTTTACCCCTTTGGGTAGTACAATTATGCAAGCAACCAATAAACTATCAGTGACAAACAGATACTTAAGCCGCATATATATGGAGCGAAGTAACATCATCTCCTCTGAAACAGCTGGCTCCCGGGATTAGCGAAGCACACCGTTGGATTCCGCAGGTCCGTGGCACGCCATTTTGACAATTCGCGTCTTTTTGGGACTAATTAGCAGAGATTGTAATTAAAAACTAATTTTCCCTACGTTTTCCCTACATTTTCCACTTTCTTGGGTTTTATCTATTACAGGGATTTGGCTACGTACCAAATTCTTTTTTCTTGAATATCTATGGAACAGCGCCGAGTTGAAATTCGAGGCGCGTATCCTCGGATTCCAAACAATTCTCCGAATCCATCCATACCGTTCTCATTTTCGTAAGACTTTAATCGGCCGAGATATTAATTAAAAACTGCAGAAATGTTAATTTAGCACTCTTTTTTCCCAGTGGCAACAATAAACTATCGGCGACACGCGCTTTAGCCGCTTATATATATAAAAATACTTCCTCTGTTTTAATATATATATGCATTTGAAATTCAGAAGTTGATTGCCTTAAAATACAATCATTTTTGCCTTAAAATACAATCATTTTCTGTTATCTTCCTTAAATTATCTGTTGAAAAAAGAATATTCAGAAGCTTGTTATGAATTTCTAATTTCAGCTTGAGCTGATGGAATTGTTTAATTTACTTCTGAAATTTTGGATGTTGTACAGTGTATGTGCATGGGAAACAATGATTATTATGCTCAAACTAATAAGACTGCAAGCCTACATTATTGACACTTATAAACAGATGACATTAGTTATTGAGAAAAGCCCAGTTTGGGTCCCTAAATAGCTAAACACTGTTAATTACTTACTTATTTAAGTTAATCATAATTAAAAGTGAGTAATTTTCAAGCAAGAGTTTATAAGGGAATTTAAGCAGCAGAAGAAGCTTAGAAAAGGCAATCTGGCCACCATAACAAGGAAGTGTCATTAATCTCTATTCTTTCCTTATTATATAGTATGCCCAGTAAAATAGTCTGGAAAATATTTAATTTTTTTTTTAAACATACCCGTGACCTAGACTTAAACATAGCCTTTGTGTATAATAATGATAAAAGAATTAAAAACAAAACTTTTACACACACACTACTACATTCATTGTATCATTTTAACAGTGTGAATATATAAGATGCAAATGTGACTGTTTTTATTAATAATAACATAACGCACCAGACTATGCCATATCACTGTCTGGTGTGTTGTGTAATTTGAACTACATCGCTATGTAAAAGAATTAGAATGGGCATACTCATTCGCAAAGAATTAATAGTGTTGATATTAAAAATTCCAGCTAAATTAAAAAAGTGAAAAGAAATTAAATGTTAAATATTTTAATCTAATTTGTTTTGCAGTTAGATAATTTCACACTTTTTTACCTGTGATTTAATTTTTTTCTTTTATTAAATAATATATTACTGCATTGCTGAATCAAAAATGATCTAGTCTAAATATGTTTGAAGTTGTCAAAACCATTGTCGTTGTGAAACCTTATTAGGTTTGCTTTCATAAATATAATTTTTTATCATATTTTAATGTAAGAAGTTTTTGCCATAATATATAGTTTAAATGTCTATTTTGAATAATAAAATCTTTTTAAAAACATTCTCATTTCAGCACTTTTATTTATTTATTTATTTTGTTCTTTTCATCTGAATTAAAGTCCTTGAAATTATTATCGTTTTAGATGTCATCTTCTTGATTTGGTATGGAATCAGATGAGAGTTGTGATGCATTAGTTGAAGTTATACCAGCACATACAAGTGCTGGTAATTTAATAACAAATGGGGTTGGATCAGTTTCTCCCCGGTCATTAAAGACTGAACAAGTTAGTCATTTAAAAATTATTTTTTAATAAGCATAATTAATTATTTTTCTGTTCATTTGATTAATTACTGAAAATTAATTATATTCACTATAGTTCATTCTCCTTCAATTTTAGGTGTTCCAACCGTGTAGTGATTTTTCACATGTAAGTTATTTTTAAATTTTTAATTTTCATCTTAATTCATTATATATATATATATACAGGGTGATTATAATTAAAGTTTAAGTTTCAAAACGCTATAAAAAAAGAACCACTCATGAAAATGACGTCAAATTTGAAAGGAATGTTATTGAAGAAGGCGGAAAGCGTATGGCAGAAGAAAAAATTTAGTTTCAAAAGTTAGCAACAGATGGCACTGTAAGCGGAAGAAGACGTAAATTAAAATTTTACTTAAATTTCAGTGTTATAAAGCCGCCAGGTACCAGGCTGTTCCTCATTTCGCGTCTCAGACATTCGCCATGGGTGTTTCACTGCAGGATCGCGTCTGCTGGTAAAGCTGTATTACGAGAATGACGATTGTGCAAGAGTAGCTCTGCAAAAATTCAGGACACTGAAGGGTATAAAAGAAGGCGTTGGTCCAATGAGTGTCGTAGGTCTAAAGAAAATGAGGCAAAAATTCGAAACAACAGGTTCGTTTGATGTGCAATCTGGTAGAGGGAGAAAACGATTGCATTCGACGGTAGTTGAAGAAGTGGCCACAGCATTACAAGAGGGGTCGGCCGGTGGTGTGCAACCAGTGCAAGTGCACGAGGAATTGCCGGAACACTTGGACAGGCCTACGAGCGCGGTGCTGAAAATTGTACGAAACATCCTGCAATGCTATCCGTACAAAATTGGCCATGTGCAGGAGTTGCTTCCGTCTGACTTGACAGCTAGGGAGACGTTTGCGTTAGAATTCCTGGCTCGCATGGAAGTGGATAATGAATGGCCGTGGAAAATTGTGTGGACAGTTGAAGCCCATTTCCATCTGATAGGATACGTGAATACCCAGAATTGTCGATAATGGGCAACAGAAAATCCACTGGCAACGCACCCCTTACCACTTCATCCTGAAAAGGTCACGGTATGGTGTGGCTTTACGGCATCATTCATCCTACAACCATATTTTTTCGAGCAGACGGGTGCTTCCGGTCCTGTTATCGCAACCGTCACTGGTCAGAGGTATGGCGTCGATTTTTGCGCAACCACGTGATTCCAGCTCTGCAACAGCGTAGATGTGTGGATGAAATCATTTTTATGCAAAATGGCACTCCTCCGCACATTGCACATCCCGTGAAGCAGCTGCTGAGGGGCCATTTCGGATATGCTCGAATTATCAGCCGTCATTTCCCTACAGCCTGGCCGTCCCGATCGCCTGATCTTACTCTGTGTGATTTCTGGCTGAGGGGATATCTGAAGGATGTTGTGTTCCGTGCTCCAACTGCAAATTTAGCGGAATTAAAGGCACGCATTTCGCAACACATTCTGAACATCACCCCGGAGACACTGCGATCTGTTGTGGAACATGCTGTTTGTCGCTTTCAAGTTGTTGCACACAACGGTGGACACCATATTGAACATGTTTTTGCGCCAGTCTCGCGACAGTTCCGAACTGCTTTGATGAATGGTTCTTATGCGATATGTCGCCGCAAAACTCTTGAAACCGATTTGTCCCTTTCGATGTGATATGTACAGTCATGCAAATAAATTATTCAACAATTCTAATTTGTCAATGCGTTTTAATGTGTAACTTCCCACCTTAACCCGTTGTTTTACGAATCATTTCTCGTTTCTCGTCGTGATTTCCCGCTTACAGCGCCATCTGTTGCTAAACTTTTGAAACTAAATTTTTCTTCTGCCATACGCTTTCCGCCTTCTTCAATAACATTCCTTTCAAATTTCACATCATTTCCATCAGTGGTTCTTTTTTTATAGCGTTTTGAAACTTAAACTTTAATTATAATCACCCTGTATATCCTAGTACATTAACATTCGTATATATAATTAAAATTTGAGGAAACAAAGCATAGCAATATTTTGCTGTTTTTCAAGCAGTTCTAAATTAAGATCTGTTTTTCACATTAGTAGTGTACCTATATATATCATCACTGTTGCAATCAATTAATTTTTTTTTTTTTAAATCTTCCTTATCAATAAAACTAGGAAGTATTTATATATACCAAAAGAGAAAAATATTGTACTTTTTAATTTTTGGTTGTTTTTAATTAATGTTATTCAGTGTTGTTGTTGTAAAGACAAACATTTCAAAATAAAGAGAAAAAAACTTACTTGTTTAGTCTTAAATAATAAATTATTCATTTATTTGGTATATTTATTTGTGATTCTTCTTCAGGATAATCTAGTCACCTGTTCATCAGCTCCACCAAATATGGTACAAATGGCTACAACTGCGGTACTTAACCAAGGTGGGCAGTTACCACCAGGTGTGATGACTATGCCAGATCCAAATAACATGGGAGAACAACTTGTTGTTGTTCAGAACATGAATGGTGCAGCAAACATGGATGATTCAGCAGCTAAAACTATGATTAATGCTGGTAAGTTTTCAAAATCATAGAATAGTGCTAAAGTAAATGAAAGCTCTTCATTAATGTTTTACATATTAGCACAATCATCTTAGTGTAATGTAGTGACTTTTTAGAGAAGAAAAAGTACAATAACTTATAATTGCAAAGAATTACTTGTTACAGGTATGTATATTATTACTTACTTTACATTTTAATTAGATGTTTTTCCTAAAAAAATAACCAATATGCTTAGAAGATTTATTTAATGTGGTAATATTCTGTTGGAAATTTAATGGCTACTGCTTGCTAGATTTTTTTTTTCTCTTAGTAATTTTCTGGCAACCATATTTGTGTAGAATGGCAAGCGATGTCCTATACATGGCAAGCTGGATGTCCTCTCGAGAGGTTGGTGGTATTGGAAGAGGGGTGGGAGATCTTCAGACGTGTCCCATTATGATGATTTCCTTCAAAATTGGGGGCAGAATTGAGTAAAGTCCTACTTTTACCTGTGTGGTCCCAAAACTGTTGCCAACAACAGGGACAATTTTGCCTCTTTGCCATGATGAATTTTGCGGGCTTACTGTGATATCAGATAAGCAAGATTAGTCGCAGCAGAATTAGTACTGTTGCAGCCACTTGATTGAAGTTTGGCCTTGACTACATCATTTTCATTTGCTGCTATGTCAGTGTAAACATATTCACTGTGCTACTGGCATGAAGTCGAAAGGAATTATGGACAGTGATTCATTTCCTGTGGTGGGAAGGTGGACCAGGCCTGAAATTCATCGGATGCATTCACTATAATGTGAATATAATGTTCTGTCATGTAGAAATGTGTGTGAGGGGATCAAGAAATTTAAAGAGGGCTAAATAAGCACATGAATGGGGAGAATGAAGCCTGTCAACCTCCACCACTGGTGACAAGATTCTCAAATTCATGAGATGGTACTGGAATAGGAAATTACTTAAGTAGCACTTTTTTTTGTGTGTGTGTGTGTGTGTGTGTGTGTAGATTAGTCATCAACTGCTAATTAAACCATCCTCAGTGAATTTAGCTTTCATAAAATCTGCTGAGAGGAAAACGTACCACATAGCACAAGTGCAAACGTGTTGAGTGATGGCAGTGTCTACTCTACTGCTACAGAAATGAAGAAAAGAGTTTTTGAGCAGAATGGTCTCAGGCAGTGTGACCATTACCCAATGTGAAACATAGGTCCATTATTATGAGCCAAAATTTAAAAAAGAAAATATAGAATGGCTACAAAGAGATGCACAGCTCAGTCATCATGGATAGCTAATGCTAATTGTTTTGAAGACTAAAGGACTCATACTGGTAAATTAATTGGATAAGGGGTATGAAATCAACAGTGCATGATCCAATGATTTGCTGGAAAACAATTTGAAACTATCAGTTTCCACCAAAATCCAAGACCTGTTGTCAAAGAAAATATTGTTTTGCATGTCCACATACCTGTCAGGTATTTGAAACCATTAACTTTTTAAGTTTCGAGGTGGAACACTTTGCCTATAGACCAGGTCTTAACTTTTCTGACTGTTATTTCTTTGGACCACTTAAAGATACCTTATGACGCCATCAATTTTCTGTTGACAAAGATGTATGCAAAGTCAGACGTAAATAGTTGCACAATTAACCAAAAACCTTTTCCTCAGAAAGAATATAGAAGCTTATGGAGCACTAGATCAAGTGCACAGAGGAAGTAAGACTATACAGGAAAATGACATGCTTGTTCAACTCCTTATTTTTGTGTAAATAAATCTGAAAAACAAGAGCGTGGATAATTTTTACTTGCATTACTTTACATTCCATTGTATGTGTATTCAGGCTCTAAAATATGTGTAAATTTTTTTATTATCGTATGAAGAATGGGTTAAGCATTAAAATTTGAATTTTAATATTTCTATGTTAAATGTTTTATGTATTCTAAAGGTTCTTAGTCTCTTTTTTCAATAGTTGCATATTTTCATATATTAAAATATAAAGCAATCTAATTACTAATATTTGATTAAGTGAAATATGAGAAATAAAGTATACAATTCTGAAAAATATTTTTAATTGTTTAATTTAGTAGAATCTCCAGTTTACATAATTTGATTATCTGCCAATGCTCCCTATTACAAATATTCATTGAAAATCTGAAATTTTGGTCAAGAGCTCATTTATTTCAATAACTGCGTAAATGAAACTGGTTTCTAAAGTAATTTTATGGAAAAAAATAATATGCTATTATTTAAAATTATCCTTCGTAGTTCCAAACTGCCAAATTCCATAGTGTCAGACAAACCCATTCAAAGCCATGTGAATTATCTTTATGTTCGATCATAGGCATTTCCTTTGCACAAACAGGACACTTAAACATGACTTTCCAGCTGTAATTGCTTAGAACTTTGTTTGTTTTGTCATCTCAGGGACCTTTTATTTTTTCTTTGACTCTTGGATAAATTCCTTGTTCTCTTCTTTCTTCTTTTGCTGATTATCAAATTGCCTACTGCTGTCAAACCTTGGCCTTCCTTCTGCTACAGGTCCATGAAAATGTCTACTGAGCTCATATTCCATTGTACGTGTATTCATTGAGACTCGTACTTTTGTGTTTCACCACTAATTCAAATAGTTGCTGTAGCATACCCAGGTTTCATAGTATTCAATTGTATAAAATCTTGAGTAACAACCTAGGTAATATTATTTGAAGAACTTTGGCATCAGTTTTTTTTTTTTTTTTTTTTTTTTTTTTTTTTTCCCATATAATAAGTTTACAACCTGCATTTTTCTAAATAAAATCTGTCACTTCTGCCTTAGTCTGAATTTTAGTGAAAAATTCCTATTCTAATTTCACCCTATCTTTCACTGTAGGAAATGCTTTCAAAAGGGTAGTTTTAAACACTCAAAACTTATGCACTGGTCAGAGTTTTCACTGCGTGATTCACCTAATAACAATTTAAATTTATGTCAGCTCTGAGCCTCTCCTTGAAGCGCAGTGCTTGCTGTGGTGACCTTCTATAACTCTGCAACAGAATACAATAAAAAATGAATTGTTCCAAGAAAGTCATTACTAAACTCCTACCATCAAAAGTGGTGGCTGACTCCGTTGATATGTTGCATGGTGTTAGTGATAAAACCAAAGCCTTCTATCAGACTTCTGGTGCTGAAATCTTAGAGGGGGGTCAAAGCTAAATGTTAGTTGGTCTATTGGCATGGTTCATAATCAGTTCAAACACCACTTGTAAAGTTATACTGGATCTGATACTTAAATTTGAGTCCTACAATCCTATTAGATTACTAGTGAATTATCCCTGTATCTGAAAATAATATGACAGAGACTTGGGAAGGTTTAAACAACTTTTTTTTTTTTATTTATTAAACTGAACTTTTAACTTAAAAGGCATGACTCATGCTGCAAATAACCCACTACTTGTGGTGATGTTGTAGAGACATTATAATTTTTTGGAAGCAGACGAGATGAAAAATTAGCAACCCCCTTCACCAGGAATCTAACCACGGACCTCTGAAATACCGGCTCAGTGTGCTGACCACTACTACACGAAGGCACGCTAGGAAGGCGGGAGAAATACCTCACATACTCCCCCTTTTAAAGGGCGACTGGGGTTTTTAGGGGATTCAATCACCAAATCCTAGGTGTGGAGAGTCATCATCCACAACCCTTTTAGTTTGGGCGCTACTGTAGAGACATTAGAATTTTTTGGAAGCAGACGTGATGAAAAATTAGCTGCCGCCTTTGCTGGGAATCAAACCATGGACCTCTGAAATACCGGCTCAGTGTGCTGACCACTACACCATGAAGGCACGCTAGGATGGCGGGAGAAATACCTCACAATGTAAATTAATTAATACCAGGCACTTAAGTTTAAACATTAATAGTAGTATTTCAAGACTATACAGTCAAATAAATAAGCTATAAATTAGCTCAGTTAACTTTGACCAGTGCATAAGTTTAAAGCAATTGGCTGCAAGTGAAAGCAAAGCTGAAATAATTTTATGTAGATAAAACTGGCTAAACTTGACAGAGCTATGCGAGTGCCAGAAGCTGTCTATCTTCAAGATCCAAATACAAACTTGGCATTGAAATTTAAAAAGAAAAGAAGAAGCCATTTCCTCACTTTTCTTTAGCCAAAAAAGAAAGAGCATTACCAAAAAAAAAAAAAAAAAAATGGCTGGGAAAAGGAATAAATAACAATCTCAACTTTTTAGAAGAATCTGAAACAGATTTTAAAGTTGCTGAGTGCTCTCAAGAATGAGATTGAAATGGGATGTTTCTGCAGTGTATTAGCAGATGCTAGATAACCAACCTGTACCGTAGCTTTTTTCTTGAATTAAAAATAGGCTGTGTGATACACCCAGAAAATGAAATTAATTGTAACTATTCACAATGATTAATTGGTAATTATTTAATAAGATTTTAGAAATTATGAATTTGCAATATAGATGAATTAATTGATGAAAAGTATTAACTTGGATATGGTTTACACAAATGATTATGGCCAAAAACTGCAAATAATGTTTTTCTTTCATGATAGTTATTCTTTTCATAGAACAAAATGGTAACAGGATAGATGAATAGGGATAATGAAGTTTTGACTAAACTGAATATGACTAAAAATCTTATATATTTAAAATTAATGCAATTTTAATATCTTAAAACTTTTATTTTCTACATAATTTGTAAATATGTTCTTTTTTTCCCAAACATTAATTTAAATGATAAATCTTTGTATATGTTATTGCAGGTTCCCTACCAAATTCAATTCAAATGACTAAGTTCAACAACACACAAACAAATGTGCTTCCGCATATGGCAAATACAGGGCAAATGCTTGCTCCCACACAGTTAGCAGGTATGATGAGTCTAGCTGGTTTGCCTCAAGTCACAACCTTAACTGGTCTTAATGGGATACCAGGCATAAATGTAATGAATCAGCTTACAGGTCAAACTCAAATTGTTCAACAGCAACCTGGGAATGGAGCAGCATGTGTCTCAAATTCACAGATCCAAGGAGCTTGTTCTCAGGGTATGGTAGCAGTTAATGGGCATCCGAATGCTATCCAACAGGTAATGTGTTTTTTATAACAGTGTAAAAGGCTGATATGTGAAATTCATTTTGCATTTTTGTGGCATCACTTTAAGATATTATAAGTGTTTATTAAATTATTCTTCAGTGTCATCATTCAGGAATTATATAGCTAGCATGTATCATATAAATTGAGTTTTAAAAATTAGTGACTTCAGTATAATCTCTATTAAATAATGAGGAATCTGTATGCATGTTTATTACTCGCACTGTGGAAAAATGACAATATCAACTTTGAATGCACATGGTACTCCACCCAAACATGTTCATCTCAAAGCTAAAATTGTGAATTCTAAATTTTTTTGTTTATTTGTTTATCTGGTTGTAATGAAAGTTTTCTGCCAAAAAAACATTCTTAATAAAGTTACGGGGGGAAAACATAAAAGCAGTATACTTTAGTGCAAGTAGTAATCACCACCCAAATCTATGACTTTCAGCCAGTTTTGGTAGTTTTCCAGAAACTTTGTGACCACGAGTCCATAAACAGATCAGCCTTTTTTTGTATGTCCTGTACAGAATAGAAGATAGCACCAGTAAGATGTAGGTGCAGGTGTGATAAAAGGTAGAAGTCTGAAGGAGCAATGTTGAGGCTATATGGTGGGTGTCGCAGAAGATAGCATTCGAGTCCACATGAACCAGTCCGTATGAGCTGATGAATGCAGACACATGTGGTCTTGCATGATCTTGATGAAACATTACCTTTTTGTGTTGGAACTCAGTTTGATGTTTTCCCTTGATAGCAATACAGACTAGCTTCTCGCTGTACAGCTTATCGTCAAGGGTTTTACCTTTTTCCAGATACTCTTTGTGGATAATACCATGGCAATCCCACCGAATACAAATATGTCTATTATATACATGGTCTTTTTGTAAGTCAAATTGCGCATTGCGATGCTACCAATGGGTTGACTGGGAGTAGACAAACCCCTTTTTCAGCCTGTGTTGTTGAAGTAAATCTACTTTTCATCGCAAGTAATGATCTGCTCCAGAATTTTGTCCTTGTGGTGATATTCGAGCAGATTAGTGCAGGCCCGACTACATTTGTCCTGATCTGCTTGAGTCAGCTCACATGTCATCCAGTGATCAAACTTGTACGTCAAATTTATATGATGCATAGTGTGACTGATGGACATGGTACTAACATCTAATTCCTTAGCAAGCTCTCGAGTGGTTGCATGCTGATCTTCTTCCACAAGTACTTGCAGGCGGACCTCATCAACGTTAGTAATCCGGACAGAGTGCTCTACTTCTTGAATGTCATAATCCTAGTTTTTGAACTTTTGGTACTAAACCTTCACAGTGTCATATGATAAAAGATTAGTACATGAATCTGTATACATGATTTGATGACATTCTGTAGCTGACCTTTTGCAACAAAATTGGAAGTAAATGATGGTTCTAATCTGGTAGTGCGATAGTTCCATTTCTTAAAGATTATGATATTTTTTTAACAAATTTCACAACACAGTGTTCTATAGTAAGTCTCTTTTTTTCAAATGCCAAAAATCATTCGACAAAACATGATTACTTATGCAAACACAAACTATTTACGCAGACGATATTTGCGGTGGTTGAAAACTTTTGTTAAAATCCAATATTTATTTCATGCTTTGGACAAACTTAATGAAATATTGGTCAACAAACTCAGCAATTTAAAAGCAATGTGTTGCCACCTGGAAAAGCATGAGATAGCTCCATTTCACATTTAATAAGAAACTCGGTGGTTTTTAAGAAAAAGGTGTTGCCACTTTGCAAAGCATAAGACTCATTTAAATTTAATAAGCAAACTCAGCAGTATAAAGAATTGTATTGTCATTGTCTAAAATAAGCTATTTTTGTCTTCTATATGTCAGTGTATTGCCATTAAGCAAAACATAAGATACTTAATTTTCTTTTAAATTTAATATATCCTTTATTAGGTAGTAAACTAAGCACTATGAAAGCTATAAACATAATTCTGTATCTTTATTGGAACTTTACTAGCTGGACCAGTGAAGTGACTCTAACTGTTCTCATTAAAATCATTCAAGTATTTTCTTTTTCATAATATCTGTTTTAAACAACTGGTCATGCAATTGGCTAGTTATTAAGAATAAACAACTTTAGGTGAGTGATGTGCAACAATTAAATTAAGAGGTAGTAAAAATCTGTAACATCAGCATTCACTTACTGATAACATAAATACTATTAACATTTCTGTCAACAATAAACAATAAAAATTTTTATCATTGTAGTGCCATTTAAAATGGATTCTCTGTAGGCTTCTAGGTCTTTTTTAGTCGTGTATTTTCTATTTGCTTGCATCTACCTTGTCTCTCTCTCTCTCTCTCTCCTTTTTTTTTTTTTTTTTTTTTTTTTTTTTTTTTTTTTTTTGAAAATTTATATTTTATATTCATTTTTAAGGACTTCCTTGTATTGTTTAATGGAGGGGGAAGAAGATGTTTATTCATTTATTGTTAAATAATTTTTAATTTTTTTAGTCACAAGTTGGGAACACTCCTCAGTTTATCTTAGCAGCTGGACAACCAATTCAAGGTATTCAAGGAGCACAGCTGCTCATACCCACTTCTTCAGGTAGAGTAAACAATATTTAAAACTTTTTATTTATTTCTATGACAATGGGTATTTTTAATATCCTGCATGGTTTTTTTGGGGGGGAGGAGAGGATAACTTGGCAAGTTTCTGGAATAACATGGAAACTAAAATTGATTTAACTAATATTTTATTCTTCCCATCAAAGTTCTGTATGTTTAGTCTACTGTTTCTCCAACTGTTTAGCTTGCTCATGAAAGTGACTTCCTCAAGCTCTCCAAAATAAGAATTTATGGTCTTAGTCACCTACTGATTTGACAAAAATTTCTTACCAACCAAGGATGTTTTGAACTTTGGAAAGTCGGACTGAGCCAAATCAAGTGAAAGGATTTGGACTTAAAATTTGACAATTTTTATTGTGTGTTTGCACTTAAATAAATAAGGGCATTATCAAGGTGAAACAAGACCCTTTTCTGAATTGTTTGAGGATATTTTTCCTAAATTGCTATCAACTTGTTCAGAAATATTGCATAGTATAGCTAGTAACAATTTCCCCCTATAAAGTATTTTTCCCCCTTCCTGTGCATGCCATCGTAGTGTAAAGATAGCATTCTCGACATGTATTCAAGAGGTCCAGGTTTGTGTCCCGTTGAGGGCATTGTACATTTTTCTTGTCTCCTGCTTCAAAATAAATAATGACTCTACACCCTTCTTTAAAGCAATCCATAAGCAGAATTCCTTTGGCATTCAAAAAAAAAGATGTAGCTACTTTTCCAACTAGCTTGTTGAACAAACTTTGCCTTCTTCAAAACTAGCTCATCATCTGCAATATATTGTTATAATTAACTTTTCTTCCTGGTGTGTGGAGTTGAAGCCAATTCTTATATCAATTAAAACAAACAGTTACTGAAAACTTAGTTAGTTTTTCTTAAAAACTTTCAGCTAAGATTCAGCCATGAAATGCATTTTTGTTCAACATTGACAAATATGGAAACTACTGTGAAACCATATTTAAGTCAAATTCTTTAAATATGAGCTGTTCTGAGAAGATAAACGTGGCTTCTTCAAATTTATGAACTTTTATTGAATGATCTGCTAAAACCATATCATATGTTTTATGTATAATTTCTAGCATTTTAACTGTTTTTGGGTGCCCTGAACATAGTTCTTTAGATATGTGACTGTAGCCATACATTAATTCTAAAATCCAAAAATTCATAAAGAAAAGTGAAACTTATAAATTACCAAGAAGAGCATTTAATTTTGATATTTCATTTTTATTGTTATTTTTTCTTTCAAATAACAAAATTTGATGACTATACAAACTTTGTTTTTATCTGTAATTCAAAACATGCAAAGTTGCTTTATTTTAATGCTTGTTAAAGATGTTTCATCAGTTATTCATTTGAAAATGTTCCCAGAAAAAACGTATAAAAATTATTTGTGAAGAAAAATGACATCTGATAAGAAAGAGTTGGCGAGAAAGTAATTTCAGCTTTTTAATGTGAAATAAAACTCAACTTTTTTCAATACAAAAAGTGAATCAGTCTATCCTGTTCGATAACCGTTTCCCATCTTTCTGGTAACTTAATGATTCCATGCTCATAGAACTTCTGGTTTTTATCAGCAGAAAATTGGTGCAAGTGCAGTTTGAGGTTATTGTTACCACTGAAACTTTTACCATTTAAGAAATTTTTAAGCTTTGAAATAAATGATAATCCAATGGTGCAAGATTGGGGCTATATACATCATTTCTCAACCGAGCTCCAGTAGTCTCGCACATACTGCTATGCAAGGCCTCAGGTTGTCATGGTGGAATACAATTCCTTTACCATATGCCAATTCTAGGCTTTTCTCTTTTAAATTTCCTTTGATTACTTTCTCCAGTTTCATAAGTTGTTGGTAGCAAACATCTGAGCTGATTATTTGGTTGCTTGAAGGCAGTTCAAAATACATAACACCTTTGTAATCCCACCAAATTGATAGTATGATCTTTTTCTGACACAATTTATATCTTTCAATATGATTTGTGTTGACTCATCATGCTATGACCATAATCCTTTTTGATTATTTTTGATTATATTATTGTATAATCAAAAAGGATTATGGTCATAGCATGATCTATTTTTTATCGCTGATGAAATTTGTTTCATAAAAGGGTCGATTGCATTGCATTTGAAATGTATATCACAAATACTGATTTTCGTTGTGCTAAGTGAATTTCTTTGAGTTTGTGTAGAACCCAAATATCAAGTATTTTAAAGAGTCCAAAATATGTTTTGCGGTTTTTGTATTGTTGTGTGTGATAGATTTAACCTTTTTGCCATCTCTTGCACAGTTGTATGATGATTTGATTCAATTATGGCTTTTGTTTTGCCATCATCAACATCAGAAAGTTGGCCAGAACATTGGTCTTCTTCAAGTGAAAAATCTCCAGAACAAAATTTTTCTTCAGCAGTCTCTTTAACCTCATCTGCTTTCTTCCCTTTATGAAAATAAAAAACGTGAAATATGTCGAAAATGTCCCCCCCCTCCCAACCTCATGTTAAAATTGACTGCAAACTAATAACTGTAAACAAAAATACATGAGATTTGTTTCCATAGCAACCTAAAAGTATCAGCTGTCAAATCTAAAGAGAAAAAGAAAAAAGATTGTAAGAATAAGAAAATGAACGTAATATCATGTATGTGTGAAAACCAAGACCACTTTCTTGCTAAATTTTAATCTGTAAGATACTGCACCAATGTAAATTTTAATCTGGAAGATTTTTTATTTTAATATATAGTTCTCATTTCACCTTAGAATCTGAGACGTGAGAAGGCTTTCTCATAAGTAAATGCTTTTATAGGAGTTGAGGGGCACAAGTATGATGATTTCAAGGGGAAAAAATTCAGAGGCTTAAAGTGAGAGAGCATGGAATTTTATTATTATTATTATTATTTCCTTTTAAAACAAATTTCTAAACAGTAGAAAATTTGTAGGAAAGAAAATAACTATGTTTATTCAGGGAATAACCATACATCATCAGAATTAAATGCCTGCTTGAATGTATTCCATTTAAAGAAATCATATGTTTAAGTACTATTATAGTATTTTTATTGTAAAGCCTTCCCTTCCAAAAGTCTTTTCATCTACTTTTGAAGTATTAAGATATTGCATAGGTCCAATGCAGATATTCATGTTCATACTTGCCACTTTTATAAGCATAAATTTTGAATGTAATGATGTTACTTGCAACCTTCTTAAAAAATTAATTTCACTGCTAAAGAAACTTTTGTAATAATTTCAGCTTGATAAGATTTTTAATTTTTATTTCATGCTAGATGTAAAGTTTTGAATTAAAAAATTTTAAAGAAAAATTAGTACTTGTTGATTTTATCATATCCTGCAATAAATCTCCTAAAATACCACCTGCGATTCTGGTTCTTGCAAGGATTTGGCAACTCTGAAAGCAACCCCGCAGAAACAATGGAATGCGGGAGTATGTAGCAGCAAAATAAGAAAATAAGTGACAGTATAATGGAGCTCATTATCACTTTCAGAGTGATGTGTAGGCAGAGACAAGCTACAGTCATTAAAAATCTTCACACTATTCTGAATGCAGAATCATTCATACTATTTTGAATGCAGTTGCCAAACAATACTTGCTGGGATTACAAAAAATTTGATTTTAGTTCCAAAAAATATGCCAATAAACTGTCTGCAATATATTTGTGGGTACCGGATGACTACCATCAAAACATTTGAGATAATAAAAAGTTTTGAGTTAATTTTCATATGGTGTTCAAATTTTTAAAATGCTTTGTTTTTCAATGTATACTTTATAAATCTGTTTCAGGTGTTGCTACTCAGCAAGTGATAACAATTCCTGTTTCTCAATTAGCTGGCAATCAAATTGTCCAACTTGTTGCTTCCAATGGCCAAATATTTACAACTACTCTAGCTAATCTCCAAGCATTATCACAGCCTGTCCCTGTTCCAGGTGTCTCAACACCAAATATGGGTGGTGAGTGTTATTAATTGCACTGTAGTAAAATAATAAATTTAAAAAGGAAATTTTACAATTTAAACTAACAAATAACAGATGTTTTTAATTTGTACTTCATTTAATTCTGTATTGTTTCAAAGTACACTTCTAAAAAATTATCAAAAGTGGAACAAATAAAACAATGCCATTCAAAATATGTTAATTTTGTATATTATAGTATCACCTTTCAAATAGCAACTTTTCAGTGATAAAACAATCTTTAAAACAACTGTGTGTTATCTTACATGCATTATAATAAAAGATTTAAGTACAGTCAAAAGTCGTTAATTCGGACACCCATAATCCGGAATGATCTATAATCCGGACCTCAAAGCTAAAAACTTTCTCCGCATGCGCCGCGTTGACACATGCGCATAGGCATTTACGCGTGCGCGTAAGTCCTTTTACCGCTGCGCATATGCTTTTGCGCAAGCGCAGAATACGTTTTCGCGTGCGCGTTTTATGTATAACGAACGGTATAATCTAAAATTATCTAATTATCTATTTCAGTTAATGTTGATGACTGCGTAAAAATAGGGTGAATACAATCCAGATGCAGATAAATTGCAATGCAGTTTAAAGGGGAGGAATGGAGGTTGTTATTGTGCAGATTATTTTAATATCATCTGAATTCCAGCTGAATTTCTTAATCTTCGAATTGGATCTGGTTTATTATTTTTTGCAGACTGTAAGAGCAATTTTATAAAAGTAAACTTGAACTTTTGATTATGTCAAATAGAATTTCCGTTTCTGGAGCTCCCAAAGGATCGTACAAAACGAAAGTATGTTTCGATGTCCATCAAACAAAAAGTGGAATTGCTGCAAAAAAATGCATAAAGACATGAAGAATGTGACAGAGAGGTTAATGAAAACGAAAAAATTTCGATTGACAAGTTAGTCGGTATTCTCGGCACAACAATTAACGGGACTTGAACAGTGGAACTTTGTAACTGAACAAGAAATTGTGTCTGTTTATAGAATTAAAGAGAAAGTATTATCACATAAAACGAAGCAACTTAAAACAACTTACATTGAAAGAAATGTTTAATAAAGTAAACAAATAAATATTAAGCTTTTTTTTTGTAAATTTTGATAACCTTTAGATTATAATTGTTCTTTATTTCATAAATTAAGGTTTCATATTTTTAATTTTAGAATTTCTGCATGCCATCTTACAAGATTTAAACTGATGATCTATAATCCGGAATCGCCGAAGTCCCGACGTGTCCGGATTAACGACTTTTGACTGTATAATCATTTTAAACATTTTGAAAATTGATTAGTTATAAGTAAATGATAAAAATCAAATGTTAATTTTTTTTTAGTTCTTTTTTCTGTATATACAGGAAAATTGTACCAGTATATATACAGAAACATACTATAGTTAAGTGAAGTTCTTTTTCAAAATATACCAATAAATTTTATTGCTGTTATGACTTGAAATCTTTGTTTTAGGTAATCCGCAAGCAGTGCAGTCACATCCTATGCTTACGCCAAGCTATGCTAATATGCCTGGTCAGATGGCGGCCTTACCTCAAATATTTACCAATGCAGCTGGCCAGCTTGTTACTCTTGGCCCTCAGGTTGGTATATTATTTCTAACTCTCAGCTTGAAAGTGTAAGCTGTAAGAAAGGTAATTAGCAATGGCATATACCACACATGGCCAAACGGTCGCTCATGAAGTAACAATCATAGTTTCGTTTTTGAAGATAATTACAGCAACATTCATTATAGATATGCATGCTACGTCATGCTTTTTTAAAATAAGGGAAATTTAATATTTTAAATTGCATTATGCACATAGCATTTTTAAAATATGCCCCTTAGGCTACTTGAAAATTAAGTAACAAACAAGAGATACCGTGTCCTTGGCAGGATTGTATTTAGAACACATAGGGGCTAACGAGAACGGGAAACAGGATAAAACCCCATGGTAAGAAAACGGTGTGGGAGAAACTTTTGAAGAGAGGGGGGTGGTATCTTGGGTCTAATTGTCAAAGGCGATCTGATTCTGATACTTAAAATCGTAAAACTATTGTCACTTTTATAGCCTTGAATGGTCCGTATCCTGTTCTCTTTTTCTCTTATCATTTAGTTAGCTAATGATAATACTATTTAGAGTTGTTACAGTAATAACAGAAGTATTACATCAAAACATCTGATAAATATGAGCAATACAGGACCATATTTTGGCAGATAGAGTTTACATTGATAAATCATTGATGTGATAAAAGAGGATCAAAATTTTATTTTAAAACTTTAGGAAACTGCAGTTATCTGAATATTTTTCCAGAACACTACAAAGCAAAAAACATATTTTTTAGACTCAGTTAATCCTCTATTGTTATTTTACAACTATTTTATTTCATTATTTTAAAAGCATATGATTTATAACAGAAATTGCACTTGATGGACATGCTAGAACAAACTACACTGTATTGAAAACAATGGAATTTACAATGCTCATTATATTATTCAAAACTAAATTTTATTATAAATATTTTTTAAGTAATCACTTTGAGTGTAAAAGCTTTTTCCATTTGTTCCAAAATATATAATTGCTCATCAATAAATTTGGAAGATAATCTTTTGAAAAACTTAGAATATTTTTGCAATCTTTTTGCTTACCACATAAGATTAGTGGTGTTTCTGAGCTCAAATTTATATTTTTATATGCATAATTCATTGTTTGAATTTTAGATTATTGCTCATCCAATGATGGGGTCCAGTCCAACCAACCTCATGGTCAACCCTCAAGTAGCTGCTGCCCAAATGCAGCAAGTACAACAACAAGATGACAAGGGTTCAAACCTTGCAACAGTTTCCTCTTCTGGGCAACCAGCTACAATCAATCGAATTCAGGTATTATAGCATTATGGCAGCAAACAAATATATACTAGACATTTTATTTCAGTACCAAGATAAATATTATAATTACAAATAAAGTATATCAGATGCATTCAGATGTAAGCATCATTCAGTTGAAAGTGAAGAGTTATATCAAAAATTATATAAAAAATATGTCTCATTATCCTCAAAATTGGTTAATAAATTCTATGTAAGTTGCATTCATAATTATATTAAATTTTCTGATCAGTTAAAAACATGCTTTTTTAAGGCAGCTTAATATATAGATAGAACAAAAGAGAAGATTCTCTAGTACATCCTGTATTAATTAAACTTTTGGTGTAAGAGTTAATAAAATAATTTATCTAATATTAATGTTAATGGGAAAAGTTAATGTACTGTTTGAAAATAACAATGGATTCATGGCTTAGAAGCTGGGCATATATAAACAGATATAGCTATTTGGTCAGTTCCATTCCCTAGTTATTTGAGACAGCCATATGGCCAATATCTTATTGTCATATTCGACTAGTTTTCATTAATCTAAAACAAGAGCTATATAGCCTGGCTTCATTTTTCATGTCACTGTATTTTTCAGCAGAATTGCATTAAAAGTTATGAGATGAAAAGTACGTATGCTTTTCATTTTGGGAGTGTATTTACTAGAGTTTTATGTTGCATGCACCATAGAACATTTTAAGGAGTTCAAAATGAGCATATGTGTGCTTTGTTTCCACCTAGTAAATTAATCTTTTATTTTGGAACGATGAATTTCCTTGTAAATCCTGATCTCTTGTTTGTTAATTTTAATATTTCAAATATGGTATTTTCCTTCTATAGTAATCTCGGCAGAATAGAAAAAATTGTGTTAATGCAGTTTGAACTTAAGAAAGTGAAATTTGTTGTCAAATATTGTGAAGCTGCAAAGAGAAAACTGATTAACAATAACTGATAACAAAATTTCTAATATACGCATAGGTTCCTTTTACTGCTAAATTTTATTGCTATAATTTTCCAGTATGTTTATGTAGCCTACTAATGGTTGAGTGGATCGACTGCTGAATAATGGCAGTTCAACATGGCTTCAAATCCCAGTACATGGGCTGGGTGCATGGCATTTTCACTGTTTTACCCATGTGTAGTGTGGGTATGATACAATTTCTCAAAGACAATCTTCCATGAAAGCATCTCTTCCCTTTGCAAGATAGTCCTCAAGTGCTTTCCCATAATCAAATAAACCAAACCAGTATGTTAACTGTGTACAACTTTGTTGTCCTATGATTGGCATCCAAATCGAGAATGTAAAACAGTTCTGAGGTTACATGAATTGGCAAAATAAGAATTATAGAAATATAGCTGTCTATCACCTGAAGATAAACGTACTGGAATTCATGTGAAGACATCATATCAGTGGAAATAATACCTTTGAATGACTATTAGCAGCAGTTGCTAAACTTTGGCCATCAGAGTACCTGCAAAAGATAAATTGTTCAGGTATATATATATATAATAATAATTTTTTTACTAAAGAAATATTGACTATATTATATCTCCAAAGAATAATTTTAGTAGAATATCTTAAAAGAGTGAATCCATAGTTAGTAAGTTCAATTTCGAAAATTGCTTTAAAGTAACTTGAATGTAAATTGTTAAAAATGTTTAACGGGGCCTTGAATTAAATCATGAATAACAAAATTTCAATTGTAAAAAGAAATAAATTAAAAGCAAGTAATTAAATTAAATGCAAGTAATCATTGCCATTGATCAGAAATTAGTTGACTTTTTAAGGGGAACAAACCCAACTCCCATTCAATGAACAATAATTAAGAAATAAATACGAAGGTGTTTCGTCCTTTACTCGAGCAATAAAGTGATGCCAAACCGGCAATTCAAGCCAGGCCAAACATTTCCGTGAATAGAAGAGATCACGAACCAATGCAGAGGAACAAAGAACTCATTCCATTTAAACATTTTTCAATTTTGAGTGAAAAGCAATTTCTGCAGTAAAATTGATATTGCTCGAGTAATTGTCCCCCGACACCCTCGTACACAGGTAGGGCCTTGTACACAAGCCAAACAGCAAGAAAACCAAACAGGCGGAAGACTCACTCCATAAATAAATCTAAAAGTATATAGTAGTCACACAGCCTGGGTCAAACATGACAGTCCCTGCCTAACTTGACATGGCCTCTGTATAAACAAAAGTTCTTTGTGAATGTATTCATTATGTTTGTTTCCAACATAACTGGCACCCTGGATGCATAAACATTACGGTAACAAATCATGGTGCGGTCTCAGGCTCATTAGCCACACAAACCCGAAGCATCATGTATTACCACCCTCCTCTGCTTCAAGGTGAGCCCCTGAAGGTGTGTGTGTATATATTTATATATATTTGTAAAATATAAAAAATATGATGTCTTTGCTCTACGTGAACAGGCAACCTCTAAGTAACTTTCTGCAATTTCAGGATCTTCTCCCTAGATCAGTACTTTTGAGAACATTCTTTCATGTTACTTAACTGCTGCTATAAATGACGAGTTCGCACCATTTTTTTCAAGAGATTGCACCCTGCCATCGCTGCCATAAGACCTTGCTGTCCTCTGTCGTTTCTTCTTCCCTTTGTTAGAATAGTTATGAAATTGAAATCTTAAATTTAACCTCATTTTTAATTTAAAGCATTATTGGATATGTAGTTTTGGAGAATTTGAAAGACTAATGATCTGCCATCTGCATTGAATAAAGATATGGAATTATAAAGTTAAATTCTTCTGTGTCTTCAATTCTGATGTTTTCCACTCTGCCATGACCAGACCTTGACTCTGATGTGACCAGATTGCTAAGCTTCATCATTTCCACTGTCGATGTACTGAAAATATTACATATATATGTGTGTGTATAAAGTATAATTGCTTGTATATATATGTGTTAAATAAATTATGTAAATCTTGAAGAAATTATTACTAGTTCTCATGAAAGAGTAGGATGCCAGAAAGTACTAATCAAAATTTTCTTTCTCTTGCCGAGGTTGTTTTCTATACCTCACTAGTGCTGTTATAAAAGGTACTTAAAAGGATTTAGCTCTCATGTAAGTCTGTGTAAATTATGCTTCATTCTGTCATTCTGTAATGAAATATCAGTAAGATTTTAATTCCTAGATCAATTTTATTTGAAACATACTTTTATTTAAAATTTTTTGTTTCTTTTGAAACTTTGAGAACTGAAAAATGGAATGAGTTTTGTCCATTCATGTGGGAAGTTCATAACAGAATTTCATAATGAATTTATATTTGTTATATGGTTTTTGAATTCATCTTTAAATAATATTTCTTTCTTTTATTCATCTTTAGAATTCATCTCTGAATGCAATTTCTCAAGCAATAGCTATGCAACAACAACAACAGCCTCAATCTGCACAAATGGCACTTAATCCTGTGACTATAGTTACAACTCAGCTTACCTCACCAGTGAAAAATCAACCATTGTCTCAAGTATACAAATTTATTTTTAATGACATTTATTGTAGCAATAAATAATTTGAAATACAGGTGGTGGGGTTAAAGAAACTATAGAATTATATACAGTAAGCCCTTGCAGACAAAATATTGCATATACACATTATCTTAATTAGCTCCATTTAGTTTTTCTTGCACGAGAATTTCAATTAAGCACAGTATGCTAACTATTCTGCAGAGTATCGGCCATATTATGATAGTTCTCTGTAATGATTGGTTTGAAAATTCATTCATCAAAGAAGTCAGACATGCCTAGAACAGCAAAATCTGAGCTTAAACGTTCTCCTAATTCTTGTTAATGCTCCAGGACATGGTATTGAAGCTCTTATAACTGTGCATCCAAATGTAGAGGTTTTATTCCTTCGAATGAATACCACATGCTTAATCCAACCAATAAATCAAGGAATTGTAGAAAACATTCAGAGCCTACTATGTCAGGCATGTTTACTCAAGTTTTGGTATATCAATATCTCTCATTGTTCTTCTTGTTGAATTTATGATGCGCATTAAAAATAATCTGAATTTCAGTAGATGTATATGTATTTTTTGAATTGTGGAATGAAGGGGGATGATCATCTAGCAATAATAAAAGAACGCACGAAACGAAAAAGATTGAGAACCATTGCTCTAGACAAAGGAAAGCATGACACACTAATGCCATTTTGGAAACAATTCAACATGAAGTACTACACAGAAATTATTAAACTTAGATGATTAAGTGAATTAATCTACAATAAATGCTTGCTGACATTAGGGTTGGCCTGAAATTGTCAACAATTTTAAAGGATTTTCAAGAGGAAATCATACAAATTGCAAAAGCAGTAGACAGTGAAGTATTTTCAGATATGAAAGAAGAAGAAATTAACAAATTAGGAGAGGATGACAGTTGTGAAATGACAAACGAAGAACTGGATTATCTTATAAACTAGCCATTGTTGAAAGCAGTGGTAGCTAAGAAGATGAAGAGCTTTTAATGTACAAGAAGTTAAACAAATTGTTAAAAATGATGCAGAAACTGTCTGATTTTGTATTAGAGATTGGCCCAAATGAAAAAAGAACAAGATACTTTCTGAGTTCCAGTTTACTGAAAAATTTTGCAGATTGTCCCAAGTAAAAATCGCCAACTATTTTTAAAAAAATAATTCTATCATTTACCTACTTGTTAAGCAGTAATAGAAATCCTTTCAATTAACATTTGTTTCATTTTCTCATCTTAATTACAATAATATTTAAGTTTGTGTAAACTATACATACTTTAAGACACAATAACACGCCGAATAAATACTGATTCAGAAGTCAAACAACAAAAATCAGCGTTAATTCACAAAATTTTCACAGGACTAGTTTCGATGGTTTTACCGAACCATCATCTTCAGCTGCAAAACCACAAATGAACAAGATAGGAAATAATGTTTAGATAAGATAAGAAAGCCTGGACAAGAATAAGCAAGTGGCGCCATCTGTTGGCGAAACCAGAACTAAAACATAATTTCTCTAAAAGCCGAAGGCAAATTTGGATTGGAATTAGGATCGTTAAGTAGAGCAGAAAGATTTTTATGAATGTGAAATGCCTCTAGAAAATCCAGTTCTCCAATGGAAGATGTTTTTTGAATAATTTTGGCAGCAGAAAAATTGAAAGTGTGATTTTCGGACCAACAATGTTGAGCAACAGAAGACTTCTGTGTTTCCTTTTTTCTAACATATGCCTCATGTTCTTTGACGCGAAATTTTAAGGCTCTCTTAGTTTGGCCAATGTAAATTAAACCGCACTGGCAAGGAATCCTATAAATACCCCAGGAATTCATATCCGGAATGGGGTCCTTGAGTATAGAAGTTGGAATTTTATTGATGGGAGAAGTAAACGACCCGAAAGTTAAATTTCTGCAAAATATGTGCAACTTTATAGCTAATTGATGGAAAGAAGGGAATGACAACAGAATTCTTATAAATCAGAGTGCAAAAAGGCACACCAAAAGGCACACTCGTAAAACAAGAGAGTTGTTTTACGGTGTGCCTTTTAGTGTGTTGAGATGAGAATTTTTTAACTGCTTGATTAATAATGTTGGGTGAAAAGCCCCTGTCAATAGCTATTGCTTTTAAATAATTTAGTTCTTCATCAAGGGCTAGTTTGGAGGAGCAAACTTGAAGAGCACGGAAAACATAGGAATAAAATGAAGCTAACTTTTGTTTAGTCGGATGACATGATTTAAAGTGTGGTTTGGAAGGCAAACCGATGAAGGTTTACGGTAAACCTGTAGTACTGAAGTTGGATGTGTTACGTGTGACCAGAATGTCGAGAAACGGAAGAGAATTGCAAGTTTCAAGTTCAAAAGTGAACTGAATAGCAGGATCAATAGAATTCATTGTTGAAAGAACTCTATTTAAATCATATTTATTACCTTCAAACAGGGTAAAAGTATCGTCTACGTAGCGGAACCATGCCGGGAAGTTTAAAGTTTCAAACAATTTTGATTCATAATAATGCATGTAGATATCAGCCAGGATGGGACTGAGGGGGCTACCCATGGCTAATCCCTCAGTTTGCTTGTAATATTTATTTTGAAAACAAAATGTGTTTGTTTCAAACAGAGTTGAGTGAGAGAAATTAGCTCATCAATTTCGATGCAAGAGAAATGAAATTCGCGAAGTCTGGTTTCTAGACATCTTAATGCACCCTCCACTGGGACATTGGTGAATAATGATTTACATCAAAAAAAGAAACCATGAGTAAATTACGAGGAGAAATGTTTTTAACCTTTTTTACAAACTCTATTGAATTTTTTATGGTGTAAATGTTATTGTCTAATAGAGTGGAAAATCTAGAAACTAAATATTTAGCTAATGGATACGAGGCAGTACCTAAATTTGATACAATAGGGCGGAAAGGAATACCACTTTTATGAATTTTGGGAAGAGCATATAATCTGGCACAATTCGCAACAGATGGGATAAGCGAATGTTTTAAGTTGCTTGAAATGATTTGCGAAGATTTGATCGCAGTTTTTATTTTGGATAAGTCCGAAGGTGAAGGATCTTTAGTATCGGATTATATGGTCCTTCGTTTAGAGGTTTAGTGACACCATCGATGTAAGTGTTCTTATCCATGACGACTATCTGGCCACCTTTGTCGGCCTTTGAAATGACAATATCCGGGTTAGAATGAATCTCGCGCATTGTAGCTCTTTCTCTCGCAGTTAGATTTGGTTTCAAAGGTGTATTATTGAATTTCACATTATGAGCGATAAGATGCCTAATCATTTCTTTCTGTGAATCTGAAACTTTACTGAACTTGAAAGCTTTTTCGATAGGAGCCAAAATCTTTGGAATCGAGGGTTTACAGGTTTGTGAGAAGTTAAAATTATATTTTAGAATTCTCTTGTTCTTCTGAAAGACTAACATTAGAAATATTAACATTAGAAATATAATTAGATTTTTTGAACTACTTGAACTGGAAGACTGTAAAAGAAGTTTTTCGAATTTAACTGCAAGGGTGTTTTTATGACGGTTAACTGCATTCTCCGTTCTAGACCAAGACTTTTGTTCAAGGGCAGTGAATTTTGGATATGTTTTAGCGAGTTCCAGATGAAGCTTATAGAGTTCATGTTCAATTTTGGACAATTGTTGACGTGTATCCCTTATCACGGATCGAAGTAAGGCAAGTTTGCAATTTAACAGAATTCTTGAAACGCGACTCGAAGGTTTTTGATTAGATTTGATTTGAATAAAATTGGGGATCAATTTTTTACATTTGCATTTAAGTAAAAAGTCAAGATGATTCAGGAATTTTTGCCGTTTCAAGCGTAATTTAGTGAAAACGATTAACGGATGAAGGCATGATAAACAATGCAGAAAATCAAACTAAATTAACTGAGCAATAATAAAGTACACACAAAATAGCAAAAAAATCCCTCACTGAAATGAATAGAAAACAAAATGTTTGTAAGCAAAATACATGAAATCAGACAAGCAAAGCACAATATCCAAATGTATAAAACATAAACATAACTTGAAAATTGCAAAATGTACTCACCGAAACTCCTACGATCACAAAATGGCGGCCACACCACGTGTAAAAAAGAAAGCAAAATGTAATCCTGTTTGGGGCTTCTATAATTAAGACACAATAACACGCCGAATAAATACTGATTCAGAAGTCAAACAACAAAAATCAGCGTTAATTCACAAAATGGCTTACATTTTGCTTTCTTTTTTGCACGTGGTGTGGCCGCCATTTTGTGATCGTAGGAGTTTCGGTGAGTACATTTTTGCAATTTTCAAGTTATGTTTATGTTTTATACATTTGGATATTGTGCTTTGCTTGTCTGATTTCATGCATTTTGCTTACAAACATTTTGTTTTCTATTCATTTCAGTGAGGGATTTTTCTGCTATTTTGTGTGTACTTTATTATTGCTCAGTTAATTTAGTTTGATTTTCTGCATTGTTTATCATGCCTTCATCCGTTAATCGTTTCACTAAATTACGCTTGAAACGGCAAAAAATTCCTGAATCATCTTGACTTTTACTTAAATGTAAATGTAAAAAATTGATCCCCAATTTTATTCAAATCAAATCTAATCAAAAACCTTCGAGTCGCGTTTCAAGAATTCTGTTAAATTGCAAACTTGCCTTACTTCGATCCGTGATAAGGGATACACGTCAACAATTGTCCAAAATTGAACATGAACTCTATAAGCTTCATCTGGAACTCGCTAAAAACATATCCAAAATTCACTGCCCTTGAACAAAAGTCTTGGTCTAGAACGGAGAATGCAGTTAACCGTCATAAAAACACCCTTGCAGTTAAATTCGAAAACCTTCTTTTACAGTCTTCCAGTTCAAGTAGTTCAAAAAATCTTCCCATTGTAACATCAAGCCAATAGTTTAATATTTCTAATGTTAGTCTTCAGAAGAACAAGAGAGAATTCTAAAATATAATTTTAACTTCTCACAAACCTGTAAACCCTCGATTCCAAA